CAGAGTCAACTTGATGGCAACTGGTTTCCTAGCCTGGAAGAAGAATTAATAAATTCTGCTCTTATGGTTGACACGTCCTGTGTCTTCTGGAAACAAATTCATTAGTGTGTTTAATGAGGGCCCTTTGCCTTAAGCTGCGGAGTTGCTCCGTGGAACTATTTGGTGATCCTGGCTTCCTATTATGAAATGAGGAACACATTCTTTGATTAATAGCATGTTAACAGCAGAACCCCTTTTTTACCAGAAGATGGCTTTTAGGGAAGGGACTGGATGCACCACATGATTGATTCCGTGTCTGATCTGCTTGCTCTTCCTCTCTGTCACCAAACAGTACGCTCTTCTCCTCCTGCCTTCCCATCACCCATGAGTAGGGCCCATGCTGAGCAAGGGCCTTGTTCAACATGATTTCCCCTGCAGGAAGTCATAAATATTGGCTGATGGTCAGACGGCAGTGGGAGGCCCCTTCCAGTGGGGACTCTCAGCCTACCCAACCCAGGGCTGGAGGGAGGACCTGGGTTAAAGAAATGGCTTCTCCCTACTGGGAGGCCTGGAGAACGCGGACTATCCTTCCTGGTCTATAGGATGGTCCTTGGTGTCAGAAGATGATGTCATCACTTAGAAGGGCAACTGGGGCCATTGGAGGGACGCTGAGAAGGTGCAAACTCAAGAAGGTGAAGGCAATGCAACGTATGCCTGGGTCTAGCGTGGAGGTCAAGGGTGCTGCTTGTGAGTCAAACAGACCTGGGTTTGGAGGCCACTCCTCCACTTCCCACCTGTGTGTCCTTGCCCAAGCTGTTGTTGTGGGGCCTGTGTTCTTTCATCAATAACCAAGGTGTTTTAAGGGTTAAGTAAATCAGCGCATGAAAATGCGTTGCACGGTGCCTGGTACGTGCTGAGTGACTCATTTGTGGAAGCTGGTAGTGATGATATCAGCTGCTTGGGGGTGGCACAAGCGGTTTGTGATTGGCTGCTCACCTAAAGGTTGGCAATTTGAACCTACCCAGCAGCACCACGGAAGAAAGGCCTGGTAATCTGCTTGCGTAAAGATTACAGCCAAGAAAACAGTATGGAGCAGTTCTGCTCTGTACCACATGGGGTCGCCATGCATTGGGAACAACTGGATGGCAGCCAAGAACAGCAACCATGGTGGCATCAATGGCAACCCCGTGCCTAGTAAGCAGGAGTTAGAAGTCGGAGGTGCCACATGCCAGGTGCTGGAGGAGACAACTATATGGATTATTCTTGGTTTTTTTTTTTTGTATGCATGGACACTCTGGCTCCTTATTAGAACTCTGAGGTTCCCTAAGTGAGGTCCTTCTTGGAGTTGTTTCAGGGAAGCTCAGTACCCAAACCAGTCCCGTTGCTGTCAAGTTGACTCCCACTCACGGAGACGCCATGTGTGTCAGAATAGAACTGTGCTCCACAGGGTCTTCAAATGGCTGATTTTTCACAAGTAGAAAGCCAGGCCTTTCTTGCAAGTCACTTGCAAGAGTGGACTTGAACCTCCAACCTTTCGTGAACCATTTGTACCACCCGGGGACTCCTCAGTACCCAAAGCCCCTTATTAAACCCTGGTCATCCCTGAGATGATCACCACAGCACAGCTACATCAACAGCCACCTTGCAGGGCTCCAGGACTGCGGAGCAGATGGACGGAGCAGGCGTGGGAAGCAAGCAAGGACCACACCGTCACCTTGGAAGGCATGCTGGAGAGCTGGGCATTTACCTGTAAGCAGTGGGGGGGGGGGGCAGTGGAGGAGCCAAGCAAGAGAGCAGTGTAACCAGGTCTGTATTTGGACAGAGTACTCTGGCTGCAGGATTAGATGGGTTCAAGCTACAGGGAAGGAGATCATTACTGCTGTAAGCTCGGTAGGCAATGAGGACCTTGATTAAACAGCAATGATGCTGGGGTCTTAAAAGCCTGTGAGTGGTCAGCTAAGATACTCCACTGGTCTCACCCCTTTGGCAGCAAGGAAGAATGAAGAAAACAAAGATACAAGGGAAAGATTAGTCCAAAGGACTAATGGACCACAGTTACCAGGGCCTCCACCAGACTGAGTCCAGGACAACTAGATGGTGCCCCGCTGCCACCACTGACTGCCCTGACAGGGATTACAACAGAGGGTCCCGGACAGAGCTGGAGAAAAATGTAGAACAAAATTCTAACTCACAAAAAAAGACCAGACTTACTGGCCTGACAGAGACTGGAGAAACCCCGAGACTACGGTCCCCGGGCACCCTTTTAACTCAGTAATGAAGTCACTCCCGAGGTTCATCCTTCAGCCAAAGATTAGACAGCCCCATAAAACAAAACGAGACTAATGGGGCACAACAGTCCAGGGACGAGGACTAGAAGGCAGGAGGGGACAGGAAAGCTGGTAATAGGGAGCCCAAGGTTGAGAAGGGAGAGTGTTGACATGTTGTGGGGTTGTTAACCATTGTCATAAAACAATATGTGTACTAACTGTTTAATAAGAAACTATTTGTTCTGTAAACCTTCATCTAAATTTTCAAAAATAAAACAAATAGCAATGATGCTGAATAGGGTGGGATAGAGTCTAGAACTCAATTGGAAGGTGTTCAGGATCTGTTGAAGTGGAAAGGTGACTTCTGAGTAATGCCGCTCACTGAGAAATGTGAGGAGGAACAGGATTGGGATGGGAGGGGTAAGGCTTGCAATTACAAAAATAATTAGATTAGTCTGGGACTTACTGTGTTGAGTTTGAGGTTCTTGTGAGACATAGATGCGGAGAAATCTAGCAACTCTACGAGTCAGCATTTAGTAGCAAGGACTTACTATATGCCAGACACTGTTCTAAGCACTTTACATACAGCACTTCATTCGATCCTCATAATGGCCTATAAACTGGGTGCTGTTATTCCCATTTTATAGATGAGGAAGCTGAGGCACTATGAGGTTAAATCACTTTCCCTAACTGCGAACAAGGGATGGAACCAGAATTTGATCCCAGGTCGTGATGGGCTGTGCCTTTTGCTCCACTGCTTCTTTTGACATCAGGAAACATGGGTCATGACAGATCGGAGGCACGGAGTCCCTGGAAGCCACTAACGTGGAGCAGACCGCCTAAGGCACGTGGCACGGGAGACAGTTTCCAGCATGAAGCTTGTCCTCTGGATTATCAGCTAGAAGTAACCCAGCCACATCAATGGAGCGCCCTCAAAGTTGGGGTGCTGTAGAGAACAACAGGTTGTGTCTGAAGCATCACTGGCCGGGACGCGTGAGCCCCCTCCCAGGATGCTTTGCACGGAGGGTAATTTGGTGATTGGAGGAGGATTTGATTGACACAAACACATGGGGGAGGGCAGGCCTCTGTGCCAACCAGCTCGCCAGGAGGCCGAGCCAGGGCAGGATGGCAGGGACAGATGTCAGACTTGCAGGTGGCCTGAAGGACAGAAATCCAAACTGCTCTCAGAGGGACTGAGCCGGCAGAGTGTACTGAAAGCTCACTCTTTCCTCAAGGCTAAGTTCAGTGTTTTAAAAACTCAGGTGCCACCCAATGGTAGCACGTGGACGCTCTAAGGAACGTTGGAGAGCATCCAGTTGAATGCTTCCACTTTCCGGATGATGAAACTGAGGCCCAGAGAAACCAGATGACTCCTTGTGGTGCAATGGCAGGTATGCGGATGGACACACTCCGCCGCCTTCCCCATTGCGAGTGCGTTACCACAACCTTTCTTCACTTCAGACAGGGCCCCCTCTCATCAACGGCCAGTGCCCTTCCCTCTTGCAAGGTACGGCCCGTTGGGGGCTTTAGCAAAGCCTTTTTTCCCCCTAGAAAATTGCAATTAAAACCTGCAGATTATACCTCTCAGAGACCGAGAGCCCCGACGTGAGGAGGCGCATGAGGCCCACCTTTCTGTAGGCCCCCTCGTCCCTTAGGCAGCAGCCGCTCGTGCTGGATGGAGCGCCCTCTGCCTGCACGGGCAGGAGTTCCGAGCAGCCGTCTGAGTGCAAACGCTACCGGGCTCTGGAGTCCAGCGCGGCCTTCGCTGCTGCTCCTCCGTAAAGAGATGAACAGCACATGGTGTCACTCAGATTCTACCACACTGGAGAGTCCCACGCCAAGGTCAAGTGGCTCCATTTGGATTACTGTCCCAAGCCTTTGCTGCTCCCAAAGTGTGGTCCCCGGACCGGACCCGCAGCATCAGCACCCCCTGGGAGCTTGCTGGAAATGCACAATCTCAAGCCTCACTCAGACGTACGGAGTCAGCATCCGCATTTTAAACAAACCCCCAGTGGGTGATCTTTGCACAACCGCTTGTGAGCAGCACTGTGCTAGGGATCTGTCAGTCAGCAACTTCTACGCAGAATGCGGCCAGCAAGAGGGAAGCCTTTCTTGATTCCCCCAAAGCCTTCAAAAAGACAGGTTAGTTACAAGGTTAGGGGATACAGCTCTTGCACCTTGCTGTACAGGACTTGGGCTTCTCAAGAAAGGAGCTAGAGGAAAGTACTCAAAAAGCAAAGTAACCTGGGGTCACTTTGTTCAGGGGCAGCCACACCCCAAAGGCCCCTGAAGGCTCTGCTGCTATGTAAGGCTGAATGGTAACCGATACTATGAAATGACCCTGCGTAATTTAACAAGAGGTTAATTTATATTCATTATTCCCAGACTGGAGTTCCTGGGCTGTATAAAAGTTACTGAGCTCCGCTGCCAACCAAAAGGTTGGAGGTTCGAGTCCACCCAGAGGTGCCTTAGAGGAAAGGCCTGGCAATCTAATTCTGAAATGTCAGCCATTGAAAACCGTATGGAGCACAGTTCTCCTCTGACACACATGGGGTCACCATGAGTTGGAATCGATTCGACGGCAATTTTTTTTTTTTTTTTTAAAACTCCCAGATTAGTAAAGGGCAGAGCTGATACTCTCACAGAATAGAAAATACTCTTATACCCCTTGCCCCGGCCCCCTCCCCAGCCAAACTGGAAGTATTTTTGATGGTTCCTGCTAGTAGTTGATAAAACACACAAGAGCCAAGGAAATGATTTTTTTAAACTTTTTTTGTTGTTTTTAAAGAAACTGCATACATCATCAGAGACCACCAATAATTTAAATACCATGCAGTTTCTGTATGTACAAAACCGAGGCCATAGAGATCCGGTTTCATTTGTATGTACATTGTCTTCTTCATACAGCCGTCATCTGGTAATTACAACACAGGAGAGCAGGGACCGAGTAACCACGCGCACTCCTATCCAAGGACAGACTGTACAGACACCCCGTTAGCAACTGGGAAAAGCCACTGGTTTGGGGGTTAACAGACACGTGGGAAGGAAAAGTCACAGAAGGTGACCTTCGCTCCCTGGCTGTGTGCAGGGAGATCCTGCAAAGTCCATTCACGGAAACACTCACCACGGTTTTCATCCGCAACACGCGTTCGTAAGTGGGAGGAAAATAAAGTTCGGAGGTTTCCATCACAATAACTGTCACGCTGTTTGGTTTCTCTCATCTGACGTAAAGGCTCATGTTTTAAAAGGTTTACAGGGCTGTTGAGGGCCTTTGGAGGGGAAGGTATCAGCAATTTTGAAAACGCGAACAGGCCAATGGCAGTCCCTTCGGTAGGTCCCCAACGTGGCTAGGACACCCACGGGGGTGTCGGGGCTCTGTCTAATTTTGAGAGGGAAACATCTGACTTGGGACATTTCACGTTTTTCCCCTCATGCTAATCCAAACAACAAAATGCTCTGCTGTGAATTTATCCACACAAAGCTTGACTTGAAAACTGCAGCTTTTCCAGAAAAGGGATGTGTTTTAAACCGCCTAGCCCACCTCGCTTTTCCTAATTAATGTCAAATTGCCATCTTAGAAAGTAACACAAATTGCTTCAGTTGTCATAACAATGTGGCAAAAAAAGAAACAAATGTGGATAGACTTCTCTAAAGACCTGGTGGTTTTAAGAAAATGCAGACGCAGCCCAGGGCCTGCCCGCCTGCAGTCCACGGGGGCTGCTGAGCCAGCTTCAGAGCCACTTCAGATAGGCTGGGGACCGCCGCCCGGGCTGCGGGTGCACCATCAGGGGCCTGGGAGGCCGTAACCCTGACTCCCTGCAAGTGACTAATGGAAAAGGTGCTGTGGGGGAAGGCGAGGGTACATTTTTTTTCCGTTTCTTCCAGGCATTGAGTGGATTGCAGCCACAGGGCACTTTGGCAGACAACTTGGGCTGGTAGTGGGCTGCTAGCTGGGACATCGGTTGGGGTGTTAGCTCCCAGGGAATCGAAAGGGCCCAAGAACCAAGGCCGGCAGAGGAGCCGTGGGCATGGGAGGGCTGCGGGTCAGGCCAGGCTGCCTGAGACGTGACCGCATGTCAGAGGGAATCTGGTTTTCACGCCAGCCAGCAGGCACCTCTCCCTGGGACACAGGCCCTCCACTGAGAGGCCAAACGAAGAGCCTTCAATCTTTTGTCATTGCGTACGCACATTCAAACATCAGTAAGCCTTTTGGGAAGACTGTATTTACAGCCACGTGAAAACCCAGACCATTTTCCCTGAACAATACTTCTCCCCAAGGCAGTAACAACTATTCAGATCCAACATTCAAAGAAAAAGGGAAAGGTCTCTGAATGGCCCTTGCCTTGTGTGGGGCAGTGGTGTGCACGCTCCAGCTGCACCAGAAAGCCTCGACAGCTTTCCAAGGCTGCTGGGCACTGCCCTCAAGAACTGCCCTGAGCTCTCCAAAAAATGTGCCCAGCTCCTGGGCCAGTGCCAACCTGTGAGCAGTTAACACCTGTGTAGAATGAAATGGCCTTACTAACAGGGACGCATGCTCAGAGGCACCTGCGTCCCACTGGCTCGTGGCGGGGCTAGGTACCTGTGTCTGAGGGCCAAGCTGCCGTATTTCTAAGTCCCGGGCACACGTGGTGGAGAGCTCACCATTCCCAGAAGAGCCGTGGCAACTAGGAAACCACTACAGAAGGCTGAGCAGAGCTTTTTTGGGGCGCGGGGGGGGGGCCCACTAGCTCTGGAAAACCAAAAAAGGCTGCAGTGGGGCTCATTTTGCCACTTGCTGGGGTTTAGGAGCTGTCCCTCCCCTCGCTACACATCCACCCTCGGTATCCCTCTGACAACCGGGTGCTGCCTTTCTGGGCTACCAGGTGCGTGGGAGAGTTGGCCGTACATCCCCAGCCACGCTCACTGGAGACCCACCTCTCCAATCAGCATCAGGAAGGAGAGAAACGATTCTCTCTGGATACGGAGGAGCAGGGAGGTCCACCACCGGCAGGCAAGGCTGGTGTTGGCGGCTGCATGAGTTTAGCATATGCCCAAACTCTGGGACTTCTCCATAGAAATGCTTCAGTGCAGAAGGAGAAGAGAAGGCCACCCAGTGTCTGGGGCACCAGTCCATCTGTAACTAGAAAGCCAGAACTTAAGGAATGGGTCCTGGCTTGCGTGCACTGGTTGGTCCTAGCTTCAGAAGCCATTAACTTCTAAGACATACAGCCCGGGGCACACAGAGATGAAGGACAGTAGCCGAGCAGAGTTTCCTACCCCAGCCTGATGCCCTCAATATGGTCCCTCTGCTCACAAGCATGGATGCTATGCCCTACAAGTACCTTAGCAATGGCTGGTTGTGTGTGCAAGACCACTTGGGATGTCTGGCCTTCTTAACATGGGTCGGTCAGTTAATTGGAACCGAGAAGATGACAACTTTCTCCTCTAAACCAAAGCTCCCTGGACCAGGGGGACAGGACGGGCGCTCAGCACCAGCCTCCCCCTCCTAGAACCCACACACTCTAAGACCAACAATCAACTGGGCTCACCCAGATCAGGGCTCTTCCTTTTTTGTTCACTGTGTGGATGATGGTCTGAAGGGAGAGTAAGGACAGGGACAACTGAGAACAACGTCCCCTCTCAGCATCACCTTCTAGGCTGCCCCCAAACCAGACGCCACATTTGGACCAAGCGCGTGCGGCCAAGTCTAGAAGGCCAACCAGTCATTCCCAGATCAAACCCACTGCCTCAGCTTTCTTTGGACTCAGGTGACAGACACTTGTGAGGAGGGGGCTCTCTGGAGGGCCTGGATGGGGAACACAAGGGCGGCTGTGCATGCTGGACCCTGCTGGTGCCCTCGGCCCTGCCGGGGGGCGGGAGACATTTCAGGAGCAGAAGTGGGATCAGCAGCTCTGAGCACGGAGGGCTCGCCATCTTGTCTTCACAAATGTAATCCGGATTGTGTTTCCTTTTATTTTCTTCTTCTTCTTAAAAAAGGCAGTTCAGAAGATTTACATCGTAATGGGGACGTGAATAAATACCAGCACTTATGGTTCTTATAAATGTATGTTTTGAAGACAGCATAGCACTCGAGAGGTACTCGACTGTTTACGGCCGGTGGAACCTAGGAAACAGACAAATCAAGACGGAGGGGCTGTCAGGTGCGTGGGCTTTAACACTCCACCTATCCCTCTTCAGACCACTTGTTCCTCACGGCAACAGCCCCAGGCACATCCCCACAGGAACTCCTGCAGGCACCAAGATCCACTGAATTCACCTATGGCTTTAGATTAGTGTAATCTGAGGCTCCTGGGAGCCAAACAGGATGGCGCTGGTGCCCCTCAGCTCATACTGTCAGCCTGGATTCAGCAGCAGGGAGGAGAACCCAATCTCATGTCTCTAAGTCCAGGCACTAAATACTATATATACCAAACCTGCTTCCACGGAGTCGATTCCGACTCATAGCAACCCTGAAGTACAGAGTAGAACTGACCCACAGGATTTCCAAGGCTGTAATCTTTACGGAAGCAGACTGCCCCATCTTTCTCCACGGAGTAGCTGGTGGGTTGGAACCACCAACCTTTTGGTTAGCAGTCCAACACTTAACCACGGTGCCACCTATTAAAACCCCATTGCTGTCGAGCTGATTCTGACTCACAATGACCCTATAAGACAGAGTAAACCTGCCCCATAGGGTTTCCAAGGAATGGCTGGTGAATTCCAACTGCCAACCTTTTGGACAACAGCCGGTCTCTTAACCACTGTGCTACCAGGGCTCCTTTAGGTTAGTGGTCTAGTGCAAACCATTTATGCCACCGAGGGATGATGTGACCTTACATAAGCCCTTTCAATCTCCCCATGCCTCAATTTCCCCCAATGTCACCACACAGGACTGTGGGAGAGTGATACGGAATGTTAGATGTGAACCCACTTTGGAAGTGGCATGTGGATTTGGTACTTTGCCCACGCTTGGCTCCTGCCGGCTGGCTGTACAATGGCAATGATCTTTTCTCTTCTGCTTACGTTTTCCTAAAAGCCCACTCTGGGGTTACGGTAATCTGGGCACTCATCAGATCTTCCGTGTGAATGAATTAAAAGCAGGCTTTCAGAGGGCTGCTTTTGGCTTGTGGTTTAATGTTCCTTCCCCTGATAAAGGTCAAAGCACAAACTAATCTCAGCAACCTGAAGTGTAACTTCACGCGAACCTTTTCATCATCTTGGCCCCACGGCACACGCCACACCGTCTGTGATCCAGAGGAGGGTGGGAGAGTTTAATTTGGAGTCAACATTGTTTACTGGCAATACGAAGGAGCAACAAAAACACGTGTAATACTCACCTTGTTAAATGTCTACTCAATTCATGGACTTCCATTTCAGTGCTTTTAAATTCATTGAGCTCCTTCCGAATGGCAGCCTGAAATGAGACCCAAACATACATATGCTGAAGACGGAGATGTAAAGGACCAATCACTTTTTATTTCTAACAGTATCGTTTCTCCTTAAGCAAAGCCATCTAAGTGTGTAAAATGGATTCCCGCACTGGGAGACAAAAAAAAATCACCTGAAATGTCCTTTAGGACCTACTAAGCATCCCCTCCACCCTCCAAATCTAAACTGCAGCCAACGACAGGATATTGGCCAAGGTGTATTTTTCTTCCTCTTCACAGAGCTGTTCTGTCTGGGCATCCGTAACACACGCACACGTACCCAGATCAATCACGGCTACAGCACTGGGGTCCCGAGCACAGATTTCAATGCCAGCAGCTCATCTTCCTTAGGTAAACAAACTAAGCGGATCACAGACCCAGAGACGCCTCAGAATGGTTACTCCTGGAAAGGGTGGCCACCACCTGTTAGTCACCTGTGATGGCTTACGTGTTACTGTGATGCTGGAAGCTATGCCACCAGTATTTCAAACACCAGCAGGTCACCCACAGTGCACGGGTTTCAGCAGAGCTTCCAGACTAAGACAGTCTAGGAAGAAAGGCCTGGTGATCTACTTCTGAAAATTATCCAGTGAAGACCCTGTGGATCACAACGTCAGATTGTCCGACACAGTGCTGGAAGATGAGCCCCCTAGGTTGGAAGGTACTCAAAATACACAGTGGCTGCACCAATGGACTCTAGCATACCAATGATCATGAAGGTGGCACAGGACCAGGCAACGTTTAGTTCTGTTGTATGTGGGGTCATCATGAGTCAGAGCCAACTCAACAGCAACTAACAACACAGAAAGGGTGGATCAAATCCCCCAACCAAATGAAGAGAATGGGTGATGGCTAGTTCCTACTTTCCCCTTGATTTATAAAGCCTTGGTGATATATTTCACCATCCAGGGCATGGGATATGTTTTGAATAGCCTCCAGTATTCTGAGATAACCCTGAAAACCTTATCCCTACAGCACAGCCCACCGATGTGGCTGCAGCTGAGGAAGGAGGCTGTGTAGTCAGACAGCAAAGAGAGGTGCTGCATGAGCTGGAGCGGAGGAGGGACTCAGCTGGAGGTAGGGCTGGGATGGAGACATCCTCGCTTTGTCCCTGGGCCTGACATTGTAAGCACATGCCCTTTAGCTTAGCTTTCTGTTGGGATTTGCTTTTGAAGAGTCTGAGGATGAAAAATCCTCAGGTAAGATCAGAGTGGCAGTCTCAGCTTTGTAGAGTTTCTGTAACAAAACAGTACCAAAACCAAACCAAACCCACTGCCATTGAGTCAATTCCGATGCACAGTGACCCTACAGGACAGGGTAGAACAGCCCCAAAGGGTTTCCAAGGCTGTAATCTTTATGGAAGCAGACTGTCACATCTTTCTCTCTCAGAGCTACTGGTGGGTTTGAACTGCCAACTTTTCTGTTAGCAAAAAACCAAACTTGTTGCCATCGAGTTGATTCCGACTCATAGTGACCTTCCAGGACAGAGCAGAACTGCCCCATGTGGTTTCCAGGGAGCGGCTGGTGGATTCAAACTGCTGACCTTTTGATTAGCAGCCAAATGCTTAACCACTGTGCCACCAGGGCTCCTTAACAAAACAGTAGACGACTTTAAAGAACAGAAATGTATTGTCTCACAGTTCTGGAGGCTAGCAGTCCAGACCAGGGTATCGGCCATGTCAATTCTTCCGTGGGTTCTGAGAGAGGAGCTGTTCTGTGGCTCTCTCCTAGCTTCCAGTGGCTCCCAGCACTCCTTGGCTTACAGACGCACCTTCACATAACATCTCCCCAGCTCTGTGTTCATTTTCCTCTTTTATAAAACATCACTTAGACGGGATCAGGCCCCACTCTATTTCCAAACAAGGTCACATTCACAGGTACGGGGTTAGGACTTCAACATCTTTTTTTTTTAAGGAACTCCGGTCTTTATTTTAACAAAGAAAATTTGATGCAGATAATTCCATTGTGCATTAATGCACCATCAACGTTCATGCAGCAGCATGGACCTCACACTTGCTTCCAAACTCCCTGCTCAAGCTGACTACCCCACTGGGAATGGCCTTCCAGCTCTGTCTAATTAAATTCCACAAACATCCATTTGGCGCCTACTGTATTCTCCCTCCTCTTCAACGCCCTCCCCCAGACTTCAACATATCTTTTTGGGGGGACACAACTCAATCCACAACAGCGACTAACCCTAGGAAAGGAAGGAGCATTTAGGTTTCAGCCTAATCAGACAATGTTCAGTGTCACGGGGGCACTGCTTCCTGTTCCTCTGACCCCAACAGCTTTTGAGGAACTGGATACTTTCACTACCCCAACAGCTACACAGCACTTTAGTGGGGTGCACATGGGGATATGCTGTCTATGCTTTTGAAATCTGCTAATATCTTCATCTTTGGTAAACAAGCATATCGCGGTCAATGTGTGAACAAGCGAAAACAGCAGACAAAGCTTCTTCTATTCACACATTGCTGAGACAGCTGCCTCTCTTGTGGCTGGGCCTGTCTGTCTGTCAGCCTGTCTGTCGTCTGCACTCTGGGTCAGTTCCTGGGTCACTCACGTGGACTCCTGTGTAGGGGTGAGGGTGAGTTACACACGAGTTCCCTGTTCACTGAGGTCTAAGGTGGCCACACTGCGTGGGAGGAAGTCTATCTGCCTTGGCACTTTGGTCCCACCAGCAGCTTCCCTTCTTCACTTGTGTCTCCTGGAATTCCTTGATTCAGGGTTGGAGATCATTCAGCCAGAGTCGGGGCTGTGGAAGACTTGTGCATTGGGTGTAAGGAGGCCACGGGCCACTGGGATGAATGGGGCAGATGCAAGACTCTTTGGGAGAAGACCCTCGGTGTACCCCAGGGTCTTCACTTTCACTTATGTGTTGGGTATAACCATTTTTATAGACTATTTGTATAAAGGCCCTTAGCCCTCCAGGTCCTCCTGGACGAGAATTACAAAGGCTTTCCAAGCAGAGCTTCATGTTGATCCTTGATTTAATGGTGAGATAAGAATGAGTTATCCTTTGCACCACTGTGTTTCTCATTACAGCCAATGCATCCCTCAGTGAAAATCAATGCATTTCTCAGGTGAGACTTAGCTTGCTTACTTTGAACATGTCACCAACAAAAAAACAACTGATAGGAAAGGACATGTTCAAGGACACGTGTTATGGATTGAATTGTGTCCCCCAAAAATGTGTGTCAACTTGGCTAGGCCATGATTCCTAGTATTGCATGGCTGTCCTCCATCTTGTGATCCTATGTGTTGTAAATCCTAACCTCTATGATGTTAATGAGGCAGGATTAGAGGCAGTGATGTTAATGAGGCAGGACACAATCTATAGGATTAGGGTGTATGTTGAGTCAATCTCTTTTGAGATATAAAAGAGAGAATTGAACAGGGAGAAGAGGAACCTCCTACCACCAAGAAAGAAGAGCCAGGAGAACAGCGTGTCCTTTGGACCTGGGGCCCCTGCGCTGAGAAACTCCTAGACTCAAGGGAAGAGTGATGACAAGGACCTTCTCCCAGAGCAAACAGAGAGAAAACCTTCCCCTGGAGTTGGCGCCCTGAATTCTGTTTGCTAAAGCCATTGACTTGTGGTATTTCTGTTACAGCAGCACTAGATGACTAGGACAGAATTTGGTAAAGTAGGGGGTCAGCTAAAATGAGGGAGACCATCAATTAGATGGACTGACAGAACAGCCACAACAATAGGAAGGAAAAAAAACCCAACAATCATAAAGAAGTCTCATTTTGTTCCTTTGTACACGGGGGCACCACGAGTCAGAGCCGACTTGATGGCAGCTAATAACGTGACAACACCAAAGTCTTGCTCTTTTTGTTTTCCAAACTGATGAGAGTTTTGTGCAGTGGCATGTGTTCTGCCATGTCTCCGTGATCTGTGTCCCATTTCTCCCATTAGGTGGCAAGAACCACAAACACAGTGACTTTGTCTGCTTTCGGTTTTGCGAGTCCACATTTGGGTGCTCAGGTCAGTGGCTGGAGCCTGGGGCTTCGTGCCTTTCACCTCTTCAGTGTCTATACGACTGCTAGTCTGTTTCTCTGGGCACAGCCCAGGTGCTGCTCTTCCTCTCCCTGCACCCCAGAATACCCACTGCTGTCGAGTCGATTCCGACTCATAGCAACCCGATAGGCCAGAGTAGAACTGCCCCACAGGGAGCAGCTGGTGGATTTGAACTGCTGACCTTTTGGTTAGCAGCCGAGTTCTTAACCACTGCACCACCAGGGCTCCTCCTGTACAGCAGGCCCAGTGTGATATGCCTGTGGTGTGCACTCTCTGAGCAGTGAACAAGAACCGCAGTGACCTCCCCACAGATTATCTGGAGCCCCTGGAGGAAGGTGGCGGGGGAGCGGCTGGCACTCCACACTCAGTTACCGAGACTGTGACTAAGGCTTTGTTGCTGCTCTCATCACAGGCTCCCCTGCAGCAAGCGAGAAATCCAGTGTACAAGGCAAAACAGGGTGTGAGAAACCTGCCTGCATTCCAGCTAGGCCCCCTCCCGCTCTCCTCCCCCAGCCAGGTTTACTTTGTCGGCAGCAGTGAGGCGCGTCCAGGGCTTGTCCGCCCTCCGGTCGTAGTCCTGAGCATCCGCCACCTCCACGTAGTCACTGAAGCGAATGAGGATCTTCCTCTCCCGAAGTTCTTCCACCGTAGGCCTTTGGCTGAGCTGCGGGGAGGGAGACAGAAGGAACCAGTTAACCACAGAAGGTTAGGTCATCTTGTTCCCTCTGCAAAACTGAGGTCCAGAAGGGTCAATGGACGCGTCACCTGGCGAGTGAATGGCGGGGCCCCGGTGGGGAGCCAGGGAGCCTGACTCCTGGACCTGGGATTCTTCCAGGACTCTCCAAGAGAGCTTCGTTATCCCTCGAGACACCTCCAGGCCCATGCAGATAGATAGCCCGTCTGTCTTCTTTCTAATAACATGGGGTGCCTCGGTCTTTAAAAGAAGCTTGTCTTTCTGTGGGTGTGGGTACCCGATGTGTATTTTCCTGCACCCGTCCTTTGTCTCCCATCAAGCTACAGGAACTTGACCAGTGATATTGTCTTATTTTGGATTTCTGAGTCCACGTTTGTGTGCCAGATTTAGGGCTCTCTGCAAGACGGGTCTATAACAAGTCATGTGTGGATGTGTTTCAGACACGACAAAGTGTATGTGCAAAGAGTATGCAAACTCTGGGGCACACAGAAATGGGGATATGCCGGCTTATGAGGTCAGAGGAGACCCTGCTAATGGCTTCTCGAGAAGTTCAAATCAAAGGTCAGTCCCCAAATGCAGAGCTTAGTGGAGCAGGGCCATGTTTGTGCCAACTAAGCTCAGGGGTGGCCCTCTGGATGGGTCTGTGCTGAGGAATGCAACAGATATAGGGAGAATTCATATCGACTTAGCCGTCTCCCGATGCCACTCCCGAGCGCCCTTCCTTTGTATCTGAACAGCGTAAGGCTGACACCCCTATTATCTCTTCCTGTCACTAGCTGTACTTCTTCTGGTGCCACACAGTTGCTCTCTCTTTAAGATGTTGTCAATTTGTGTCCAACTGACGTTATTTAAAAGCCATTCTTCCTTCAAGCCCTCAACTGTGTTTAATTCTATTAATAGAAGATGCAGGCAGATAGAATCTCACCACTAAGGCCTATAAAACAAACACCAGTGAATCCAAACCACCCTGGCTGTTCTGACTCTCCAGCATGCCGCTGTCATACACCCTTGGCCGGTGCTGGAATGTTTCACCTGGCTGCCAGCTGGCTTACAACGCAGAAGCGCAATTAGGTGATTGCCTGGCTGGCATTAAACAGAATAGTGGTGTGGATAACTGGGCACCGCGTGGGACCTAGGCAGGCCTGCAGCTCCCTCTGCGGTCGCTGGTGGGGGGATCTGTGAGTGAATCAGAACTAGGGGCCCACTCGCATGGAGATGCATGCAGATCCCCCTCCAAGTGGTTCCTGCTGTCCTCAGGCAGCCTTGGTTTTCCTGGGGCAGGGCACTGGACATCAGTGCTGGCCCGTCACAGGAGACAACAGGGCGCAGTTAACACACTCCAGTGCTAACTGAAAGGCTGGCAGTTCGAGTCCACCCAGAGGCACCTTGGAAGAAAGGCCTGGTGATCCACTTCTGAAAAATCAGCTGTTGGAAACCCTATCGAGCACAGTTCTACTGTGACATACATGGGGTCACCATGAGTGGAGCTGACTCTGTATCAACTTTTTTTTTAATGGCTGAAATGGCTGTGAACAAATATGGCAGCCCATTCTGAGTCCAAGACGGGAGTTTCTGTACTATGAATCAAACAGCTGAAAACACAGCGTTTATCATATTTATCCCAGATGAGCAAAGACTCCTACTCAAGATCCTCAGCTTGTGTTCTCAGAACTAGCAAGGTTTACCCCAGGGTACTGTACAAATAGTATCATTTTCTAAGTGGGCCGTGGCATGCAAAAGGTTACTAAGCATGGACTTTCAAGCTTGTATTCCTGGAACCCATGACCTGGATTTCACTAATCACCTGTCTGCAGCAGACTCTGGAGTGAACAGAAAATGGAAGATCTGAAGGTCAGGGATTCGTTTTCATCCCTGAATCCCTTGGAGGCCTTGGACAGGGCCTGTCTCTGCAAATGAGTCAGGCGCTGAGCCCCAGGGTTATGAGGGTATAAGGGGACGGGACTGACTTCTGCCACTGGGCCAGTCTCTGGCGGTGCGTGGACCGAGTAGTAAACACTGCCGGGATTCTCCTCCATGAACACAGACGCATCCCAATGGCTAAGCAGGGTGCAGAGCACGTGCCTTTGGCTGGCACTAGCTCTAGCCCTCGGCAGGTGGAACTTGAGGTTCTTCTTGGGATGCTGGGGAAATAATCTTTGCAGCCAAAGAAAGGTTTTCTGGGGATGATGGGCTGAAGAAGGGGTAGGGAGGTGGACTTGGTGGCATTATGTTTCAATCTGTGGCAGCAATAATGTCACTTGCAACCAAATACTCAACAAAAAAGTAAATTGAGACCCAAGTTCTATTACTGATAAATCTTTTCTCCTTTCCTTCTTTTCCACCTCTTCTTCCTCTCCTCTCTCCTGTCTGTCTGCCTGCCTGTCTACCTATCTTTCTCTGTCTCCCTCCTGTCATCCATCTATCCATCCATCCATCCATCCACACCCGTCCATCCATCCATCCACACCATCCATCCATCCATCCATCCACACCCATCCATCCATCCATCCATCCATCCATCCTTCCATCCTTCCATCCATCCATCCATCCATCCATCCATCCATCCATCCATCCATCCAGAAGTCTACGTGGTGCAAGTGGTTTGCCATAGGCTGCTAACCTAAAGGTTTGAACCCACCCAGGAGCTCTGCAGAAGAAAGGCCTGGCAAACTGTTTTTGTAAAGATGACAGCCAAGAAAACTCAGTGGAGAGGTTTTACTCTGTAACATAGGGGTCGCCATGAGTCTGGGGCCAGCTTGACGACCGCTAACAACAACAACAAAAAAATCTTTTTTTTTTTTTTGAAGGGAGAGGCAGGCATTTTTCAAAAGACAAAAAAGTACAATTTTTAATTTACTCTCAATTTGGTGGAAGAAAATGACTAGTCTGTTCCTATCAGCATCAGCTACTGTGTTTTATTTTCTCAGGGGCACATTAAAATTAAATGGGATTTTATTGAGGAAATCCTTGGGCCGAGGGTGAGCAATGAGAAGCAGCCGCCCGCCCCGGCATCTGGTCTTGGTGTGATAGAGGCTCCAGAGGAAATAACCGACCCAGAGCCAGGGCGCAGCGTGGACTCCGACCTCCACACGCTCCGCATCTCTGCCTACAAATGCAGATGTGGTCGCCGCTTCCCCGTCCTTCCCTCCTCTCCCTTATACACAGTTATCCCTTCATGCGGCTCATTATTTCCAATTCCCCGATCCAGTCCCACGGGAGGGCAAACACTGAAATGACAGCAGCTTCCCTGGGGAGAGGAAGACGCGGTAACCAGGAGGACAAAGAGGCATTGATCTTGCCTTAGAGACCTGCAAACACCGGGCTAGGTGGGGTAACTATCTCTAGCATTACCCACTGAGGGGAGACAGGTGTGGGAAGGACCTCCCTCCATCACCCCTGCTAAATTAGGCAATTAGTCAAGTTTCTCCCTGTGAAATCTCATAATCTTATTCAAAAGATAAGAATTAAATAGAAGTCTCAGAATTTTTCTATTATTAGTTTTTGGTAAGAAATCGAAAGTTCTGGAGAATGTCTGGGTCCCAGCAATACCTCCTTTGAACTTCATGAAAACCTGACTTAAACGTTTTTCTGAATGACTAAATCTCTCTGCACTGTAATTGTGAAGTCATCACCAGCCTCCTTTTCACACCCTGGTCATTTGGAATAACCACCTCTGCATCTTCCTCAGTCCTTCTCACCACCCAGCTCAGGAAAAAACACGTCCTGCCTTACGTCCAACTACCGGTGGTTTTAAGGATGTAGAGTTAGACCTGGATGGGGTGAGAGCAACTAGCTGAAGTGAGGTAATTTCGCGCTTGTTTGGAGTCCCTGAGTAGTACAAATGGTTAACATACACTCGGCTGTTAACCAAAAGGTTGGAGGTTCGAGTCCACCCAGAGATGCCTTGGAAGAAAGGCCTGGTGATCTACTTCCAAAAAATCAGCCACTGAAAACCCCAATGAGCACAGTTCTACTCTGACACACATGGGGTCGCCATGAGTCGGAATCAACTCAATCGTGTTTTTCTAGTCACCACCAGGATGACACCATCTTGTCACCTGACCTTTCAGGCACTTGTTTCTCTTACTTCTTTTAATTGGGTTGACATTTGACTTGTCGCTGGATGTCTGGGATGCTCTAAGGTAGAGAAAGTGTTGAGAAATACAAATCATCACCTTCATAAATGGTATGATATTTTCCAATCTCTGAATTCCTTCCTTTGCATAATATTTGTGGGGTGAAAACTCCACAAATAAACTTTTTTGAAATTAATTTTAATGAGTCTCTTACCTGTCTCTGAGATTTGAGTATGTTTCTCTCAAGACAGTCACTGTAGCCGGCCGACTCTTGGGCAGAATGTAGTATTCCATCTTGTGTATCATCGATTAACTCAACTTGTCAATCAACATCATCCAAGAATAGCCTCAAAGACAAGCTCACTACTAAAGAGACCACTCATACAGAATGAGGTCCATTTGGATCTACACTGCACTGTCAAAAGTTAAATCTATCTTAGGGTTAAATGTACGTACCAATTCCAGCTTTATGACTTTTATCTGAGTAGATGTTTCTCATCAGGTGCCTGATCCTGGCTGGCGCTTTTCAAACATCTTCATCACATTTGTCAGTACTTTGGGCATTTTCCTAATTCAGTCATTCAGTTGGATTTAGAACACTAAAGTCAAATAGCTCTCAATTAATAGGTGTGGGATAGTACAATGGAGGCAAGGAAAATTCATACGTTCCCAGGGTCAAAGCCAATAACCATAGTGAATCTGGACAACTGATACACGTTTCCAGTTGCTTGATGGGGTTATAGGGAATTTTTAAATTGAAAACTGTAATTAAAAACAAAATGCCACTGAATCCACTTTTTGAGGTAGGTGGATGTCCCACTATCGAGCCACAGAGAAGGCTGCAGACCAGAAGGAGCGGGGGTCCCAAGGCTGACCAGACCACAGTGTCCTGGAGGGGTCCTGCAAGTAAGAGAGCTGCATGTCCTGACATTGAGGAGCAGGGCAGGCACCCCACCTTCCAGGGGACCAGGCAGCTGCATGCCACCGAGGCCCACTGAGGCCCACGGAGTGGTGGGCGGGCCGCATCCCCTCCAGCCACAGCCATCAGGCCTGGAGAACCGTCTCACCTTCCGAGTGAGCCTCCTCTTGATCTCTCTCTTCTCCTCTTGTTGCTCTTGTTCATTCCGAGCTGAAAGAAACATTTAAGATGCTTTTGGTTTGGGGAGACAGCGTCACACACAGGTGCATCCTCTCAGCCTTTGCCAGCTCAAGGCCAAGCGCCTCACAGTTTGAAAAGGGGAAGAGAGAGCTCCTGGCCCCTTCCCCAGCCTCCCGTCTGCCTGTGGGGGCGCTGCCTTCCAGGCTGCCTGCACTGTTTCACATCTGTGGTGAGCAGGTTGATCTCTTTCACTGTGTTTTGTTTACATCGCATGGGGTTTTGGGGCCCCAGGCAGAGATGTTGGGTTGAGAAATGTGACCACAAGGCTGGGGGTGGGTCTTAAAAAAGGGAGCATGCTGTTAGCAAGACACAGGCATCTGGGGGGGAAGGCAGCCTCTCTTCTCTGGACAAGACCTGGCCTCACTCAGCTCTACCTGGCAGCCTCGCAGACACTACAGAGGGCCCATTGTGAGGTGGCCTGGTGTCTGGTGCGCTGTGGGAGTAGAAAAGAAGTCTAGCCCCGTGAGGTGTCTGCCTCTGGCTGCAGAGATAGAACAAGGCAGACCTGGGTGGTGCAGTCAAGTGCTCAATGGCTAACCAAAAGGCTGGTGGTTTGAGTCCACCCAGAGGTGCCTCCGAAGAAAGGCCTGGTGATCTACTTCTGAAAAATCATCCACTGAAAACCCTATGGAGCACAGTCCTACTCTGACACATGTGGGGGTCACCATGAGTTGGGGTCAACTTGCTGGCAACTGGTTTTGGTTAGAGCCCAATGCGAGGCCGGTAGCACTACCTGGAACTTCAAAACGCTCACCTGTAGCAAGCCCTGACTCCATTAATTCTTTGAATCTTCCGAGGAGTCCACAGAGCATGTGAGAGGCCATGATGTGGGGTATAACTGCCTGCATTTAGACTCTGAAGGAGGGTCTTAGGGGAGTGGACTTCAGAGCCTACGCGTTCTCACTTTAACACGTGGGGCGACTTACTCATCAGATTTTTAACGAGCTGTAGGTAAGAGGGTCTGGGGAAGGGAGAGGAGATGTGAAGGGCAGAAAACCTGGGTTTCTTTAAAACTCAAGTTTCCGAAATGGCCTTGGGGAGGTCCCTTTCCCTGCAGGCCTCAGGATGGAAGCCTAATACTGTCCAACTTGAAGGCAATCATGAGAACCAGCTAGCGTCAAAGCGATCCTTCGGCGCTTGTCCACTGCAGTTTAGAAGGGCATCAGGGAAAGTCAATCTCTCCCAGCTGACTTTGGCAGAGGGCTCCTAAGGGTGTCCCAGGTGCCCGTTCTGTCATTTTGATGTCACTGGTGTTAAATTACATTTCAGTGACTTCATTAGGGTGTCCTACCAGTGGCCCCCTACTGTCCCAGTACAGGACTGGTCTTTAAAAGAGAGAACCCCCCACGCATAGAAGGGATGAAGGACTGTCGGGTACACTGTCCCTCCTTGCCCCCAGCAGCAGCAACCACAAACGCAGGCAAGTCAGGCTGAACGTGCCACCACCTCCCATTAGAACAAATGATGAGGATTCCGAGCAGAAGTCAGGCCCCTGAGCAAGAGCCCAGGGGCACGGCTTGGATGCTGTGACCTCCTTCGGCAATCAGGGCCTTGTATGGAGGCAGAGCAGGAAAGGCCCACATCATGTGATGGGCTGGGGGTCACCAGGGGACCCCCCTCCGCCTTCCCACATGTTGCCTGGTCTCTCCACCATCAGAACCCCTTTCTTCAGATTTAAAGACTCTATCTCCTCCCTTTAAAAATGCAAACTTCTCTTGGACAAAAATAAGTTAAACTGATCAGCCATTAATACTTTAGTATGAATTAATGTATCAGCGACAAACTGGAGCCAGACAGCAAGACCCAGAAGAAGGGAGACCCCAGACATAACGTGCAGGTGGGAGGAGGGGAGGAAGGAGAAGTCTCGTGTGGAGGGTGAGTTCCCAGGAGGCAGCATTTGGTTAAAATGTAAAGAAGCACAGACTATGAAGGGCCACAAGGAGCCTAGGGACCCACTGGTCTACCGCTCTTGGTTTATAAATGAGGACACAAAAGCCCAGGGAAGTTAACTGGCTAGTCACAAGCTACATGGCTAAGTACTTAGACAACTAACCTAGCTTGATTTTCCTCACTAGAACACAGTCCAGCTCTTTTTTCTAGAACACACTGTCTCTTCCCATGCCACCTTCTGCTCGGGGCTGGCCCTTCTCCCAATTACTGCCTACTGGTCCTGGACTCTAGACAGGGGCCGTCTCTGCTCTACAGGCCAGTTCTAAGCCATGAAGGATGGCATTCTGGGACACAGCACGGAAACCTGTGTTTCCTGGGTGAGTTCCTTACGGTCTTCTGAGGGGCAGGGACACAGATAGCACCTGTGGAATCTATACCTTTAGTTCAAAGCGATTTACGAACCCAGTGTCATGAATTCTCAGGCAGAGTACCAACACAACCCCATGAGGCAACTGGGGGGAGGCCAGGAGAGGCCCATGAGGTCATCGCCAAGGGCGCCCCCATCAGAGTGACCATTGTGTGCTCAAAGGGGCAGTCGGGCTTAGGGCTGCTGAGCAGAGCCCGGGCTGGCTACAGGCCAGGCAGGGTGGGGCAAGATGTCACACCCAGAACTCAGTGCCACCCCCACCCCACCCCCCAGAGCAGTTCCTCACACGCTTTCGAGCACAGAAAATCAGTTTTAGAACAAATTGTTTGAGGCTGTTTCCTTATACCACGAATCAAAATAACCCAAAAATAGATTTAAAGAAAGAAAACATACTTAGAAAAACAAAATTTCAGAATTTAAGTATTGTTATCTGGGGTCGGGGGGAAATGTTTGTGAAAAGTTTATGAAGTGATTGACATGTTTAAATTTGGTCAAGTACTTTTGAAACAAAATTTAAATTTTAAAATTTCAAAATTTATCAGTTCTTTAATTTGCAGCTGTTTGGACAGGAAGAAAAGAAGGAATAGAACAAAGGAACAATGGGAATAATCTTTTGTAGCCTCCATTTGGCTCCCTGAACCTAAGCCACCTGCAGATGGTAACAGCCCAGTGACCCTCTCCTCACTGCACCTTGACAAGCTAGAACTGGGAGCTGATGCCTTCAGGAAGCCAGAGTGAGCTGGGTGGTTTTAGACCTTCTCTTTCCCAAAACCTCAGCCCTGCTGAGATAAGCACTAGTCTCTGAAACCTGAGCGAGTCCCCCAGGAGTTTTTAGCCTCTTTCTGTTGAGAAGTCCAGTCAGAGGCCACAGCGCAGTGGTCTACACAGGTACACTGCCCACAGATTCCCTCAGAGGACCACAGATCCTAGTTAGGTACGAGTGCTGGGTGAGGCATGTGAGAGGAGACGAAAGCATCTACCTCACTTCCGATTTTAGGACTCAGTGGTGACCTGTCTGTTTTCCTTTCCCTCAACAATGGGAAGTCTATCATGGATCAGGTATCAGATGGAGATAGAAAGACATGCAGATCAAATGCTTCCCTGACAGTGGAAATCATCTGAAAATGTCCTAATTCCATTTTGTGGTCTCTTAAATTCAGAAAGGAGTTCAAACAGTTACTGCCCTCAACTGCTAACTGAAAGGCTGAAGGTTGAAGTCCCCCCAGAGGCACCATGGAAGAAGGGCCTGGGAATCTTCTGAAAACTCAGCCACTGAAAACCCTGTGGAGCACAGTTCTACTCTGACACACATGGGGTTGCCGTGAGTCGGAGTCAACTCAAGGGCAACTGATTTTGTTTTTCTTATTAAACTCAGAAACTTTTAAGGGGACCCCTTGGTTAGAAAAAAATATATACATAAATTCCTAGTGGCCGAGGAAATATCTGAGGTATACTCAAAACTGAAGAAGGACAATCTGAAAATTCCATTCACTGAGAGGTGGGGAAGTGCTGATTGGTGTGCAGAAGAGACAAGTTGTTGATCAAGGCAAAAATAAAGCTAATGAGTCCGGGGACTTAAAAGCCTGTGAGCAGCCATCTAAAATACTCCACTGGTCTCATCCCTTCGGCAGCAAGGGAGAATGAAGGAAACAAGATACAAGGGGAAGATTAGTCCAAAGGACTAATGGACCATAACCACCATGGCCTCCATCACACTGAGTCCAGTACAACTAGATGGTGCCCGGCTACCACCACTGACTGCTCTGACTGGGATCACAATAGAGGGTCCCGGACAGAGCTGGAGAAAAATGTAGAACAAAATGCTAACTCACAAAAAAAGACCAGACTTAACTGGCTTGACAGAGACTGGAGAAACCCTGAGAGTATGGCCCCCGGACACCCTTTTAGCTCAGTAATGAAGTCACTCCCGAGGTTCATCCTTCAGCCAAAGATTAGACAGCCCCATAAAACAAAACAAGACTAATGGGGCACACCAGTCCAGGGACGAGGACTAGAAGACAGGAGGGGACAAGAAAGCTGGCGACAGGGAACCCAAGGTTGAGAAGGGACAGTGTTGGCATGTTGTGGGGTTGTTAACCATTGTCATAAAACAATGTGTACTGTTTGATGAAAAACTGTTTCTTCTGTAAACCTTCATCTAAAGTACAATAAACAAAAAAAAATCTTAAAAAAGGAAGAATATAGTAGCAGAAAAAGCATCTGAAGTGAGAAAAGTGCATTATCATCTTTCAAAAAAAAATAAAGCTGATGAGGGCTCTGGAGGCAGGGGGAGGGGCATCTTCTTTGGGGTGGGACTCAACAGCTCACCCTTAGCAAACCACTCAATGTTGACCAAGTCACAGGACCACACTGAGGAAGGGTAGAGAAGTAAAATCAAGAACATTTTAGTTTGGTCAAAGTCGAAATTACCAACCACGCAAACCAAGGTTTCACATGACTGACTGACGTCTGTGTGGGTATCACATACCACTTCTATAAAACTCTGCATAGTGTATTTTTCTTTTCTGGAGAAAAATTAGAAGTGTATGTGTGTGAGGGAGAAGCAGAGACAAAGACAGTGTGAATGTGTGTGTGAGAATATGAGAGGGTGTGAGTGTGTGTAGGGGAAAGAGAAGAGATCATGAATTAAACAGAAAATACTATTTTTTGACTCTCTTGAGGAAACTGTTGGTGAGAAAGATTGAGCAGATGTGGGCAAAATGGTTTTATTTTCTAATTATTTAATATCTTCCACTAAACTGAGGCACACTGGTGTCCCTGAGATGCTTGATTTATTTTGGGACTGTTTCTTCACTATTTTTTTTTGAGCACCCAGTGGATTCTCTGTATATATTCCAATATCTCTGTGTCCTGAACCTAACAAGGGGCTTGTTCATTTTTCCCAGTCCACGGCCACAGTGACAGGGTGCTCTTCTTGAATGAGAGCCTCAGCAGGACACCACTCCCCAGGTGTGGAAATCCTAATAGACAGACATTAAGCACTTTTGCTTGGAAATCCTTTCCTAGACTTTAAATGAACGTTTAAAGGGACGGCAGGTTTTATCAACAGCACCAAGCTGCAATGGAAAGTCAGGTTTTCTAGTCCCAGTTGCAGATGGCTATTTCTGTCTTTACACACACACACACACACACACACACACACACACACACACCCCACAAAACCAAACCTGTTGCCCTCTAGTCGATTCCGACTCATAGCGACCCTATAGGACAGAGTAGAACTGCCCCACGGGGTTTCCAAGGAGTGCCTGGTGGATTCGAACTGCTGACCTTTTGGTTAGCAGCCGTAGCTCTTAACCACTATGCCACCAGGGTTTCTATATATATATATATATATACACACACACACACACACATACACACACACACACATACACACACACTTGTATACATACGCGTGTGCATATATATATACACACACACATGTAATTTTATTGTAGTAAAAATATAAACACATAACATAAAATTTGCCACTTCAACACTTTTTAAATATACAATTGAGTGACATTAATTACATTCACCATGTTATATAAGCATCACCACCATTAGCCATTTGCAAAGAGAAACCCAACACCCCTTAAGCAGTCACTCCCCATTTTCCCTTGCCCCAGCCTCTGGTAACTACTAATAACCTTTTCTCTCTATGTATTTGCCTAGAAGATACTTCACATACATGGGATCATATAATACTTGTCCTTTTGTGCTTGACTTAATTTCACTCAGGATAATGTTTTCAAGGTTCACCCATGTGGCAGCCTTTACGTCTGAACAGTTCCATTATGTGGATATACTACATTACATTTATCCATTCACCTGCTGATGGACATTTGGGTGGTTTCCATATTTTTCACTCCTTAATCCAATGAACATTGATGTACCAGAAATTAATGTATTTTAGCCATCAATTCTTAAGTTTTAAGCCAATTTTGGTTCAAAGTTGGCTTAATGTTCCTCAAAATCATTTAATAATAAGTTCTCCCTAATTTTAAGTTCCTGCCTGACTTTAAAACTTACTAAGGGAAGGTTCGGATTGTAGCCTGTGAGCTTCTAATGAGCGAAGTGGATTAGAATTTGCCTTCTCCATGGGGATGTTCAAGGAGCCCTGGCGGCACAGTGGTTAAGCATTGACTGCTAACTGAAAGGTTAGTGGTTTGAACCCACCAGCTGCTCCTTAGGAGACAGACATGGCAGTCTGCTTCCATAAAGATTACAGCCTTGGAAACCTCATAGGGAAGTTCTACTCTGTCCTATAGGGTCACTATAAGTCAAATACTTGATAGCAGTGGGTTGGTTTGTTTGTTTTTTTATGGGGATGTTTCTTTGGTGTTCTAACAGGTAAGGATGTAGCCTTAACAGTTAAAGAAGTTCTCAATAATTTCTACACTGCCAGAATTCCACCTGTGACCTACAACTAAATAATAACTTCAAGCCACCACAAAGTAAAAGTGATTGCTATGGGTTTAGTCACTTACGTTTCAAAATGTTCCTCTGTTCCAATTCCTCCGCAGTCGGCCTCTGGCTCAGCCGCCTACGGAAAAAATCCAGGAAAAGTTTTTGGACCATATCATATCCTCCTTGGGTCAGTGATTTCCCCAGCCCTTGCAGACACATGAGACAAAGCCAAACGGCTGGAGTTCTTGTTCCATCCTGCGCTCTGAAGGATTGACTCTCACCAGCAACGCCTCGGCACAGTTCCTCAATTTCAACCCCAGGAAAGGCACAAGACCTCACGTCACACCAAGCTGACCCTCCCCCTTCTTCCCTTCACCCACTCCTTCCCACCCCTCCCCCTCCCATGCCCTCCAGGCAAGGGGACTGAAACTTAGCCTGGACTCTTCACAGGGATCCTTTCTTTCCTTGTGGCCTCCTAGCCTGGGCCCGTGGCCTCTGCTTTCCCCTCCTTCCTCAAGGCTAGAGCTTGCTTCATGCCATGTCTGCCCAGGCTCCGTGAGCACAGAAAGAGGCTCATGCCTGCGGAGATGCGTGAGAGATCACAGCTTCTGTGCAGAGAACAATAGCTGCTCTTCTTCTCGTCCCCACCCATCACCACCAGAGCCTTTTAGACCATGGAATGACAAATGAAAGCAAGAGAAATGACATTCCTCATTATGCTGAGTGAGTTTAGTCACAGAAGGACAAATATTGTATAAGACCACTATGATAAGAACTCAAGAAAAGGCTTAGACACAGAAGAAAATATTCTTTGATGGTTACGAGGGTGGGGAGGGAGGGTGAGGGTTATTTACTAACGAGATAGCGGATAAGAATTATCTTAGGTGAAGGGAAGGACAGCACACACTACAGGGGATGTCAGCACAACTGGACTAAACCAAAGCTAAGAAGTTTCCTGAATAC